TAGAAGCAAAGTATCTTACTTTCAGGATTTCGAACTTTGTTAAGCACGGTACTTGAAAAAATACCGTATTGAATTGAGTACCAGACGAACCTTTTTTCAATAAATTGAGGCAACAAATCAGGTGCGCGGCATGGTTGAAAAATTACAATTTTCAATTGACATGCTTTTAAATTGAAACTTCACCCCATTTCAAATTTTTCCGGAGCTTTCTATTTTGATGATACTATTATTTACGTGAAAGAATATCACGATTGTTTTCGATTTTCAAGTGGGATTGCATTCAGATTTTTACCCGTAACAGTTTTTCATATAGAAATTTCGATGACTGAAAACTCAGAAGTGTGTCTTATGCGGGGATAATAATTTTTTCCAACATTTCATCGAAAAAATCCAAGGCGAGCGTTGTACTGAGTAAATACGATATTGCAGAAAAAAGCAACCCAGGATTTATCCGATTTTCGATTATTCTGCACGTTTCTTATTCGAGGGAAGGAAATAACGCGCAAGCGGTTCGCAGCCTCGCCTTTTGCAAGGCTGCAAAAGTCATTAAAAATACTATACAGTGCGAAAGAAAGTTGGCAATGGCACGCACCTTTTTGCGCTCGTCCTTCAGCTCTCGGACTTGATTCTGAATTTCTCGAACCACGCTGGTCGTCAGGTTTTCTGCGATGACTTCGTGCTGACCAGCAACGTAACCCACCTCCTGAAGCATGTCCCTGAACGCCCTGCATGTCGAAAACCTGAGAGGAAGAAACAAAGAAAAAAAGACGATTTATTAGAAATTTTGATAAATATTTTTGAAGGGAAAATCCGCGGCCCTCGTTTTAATGCCTCAACCCGTACGTATCCTGGTCATCACTGACTGCGTATCTTCTCACCCAGTTGCGAAATTTGCCAACAGGTTATCATCTCGTCATCATCGAAATTATTCATTTTTTTTAAATATCCGGTTTCGCAAAATACCTTTCTTTCGCTTGGTAAGGGAAAAAATTATTCCCGTGTACGCCCTTGAGTTTGTATTTCATCATCCAAATGCTTGTAAGCGAGTTCAACAAGAACACGCGGCAAGCGCAAGGGTTTCCCCATTATTATTTCTTTTTTCTCTATCTCGTTTCGTTCGAACTGCATTTTCTTGAACGCCCATTTAATTCTTTATCTCACGTCCTGTGGAAGTCTTGTTAATTTTCACGGCTGACCCAACTTGACCCCGGGTAACCGAGCAGAACAAAAGGGCTTGATCTGTCAACCTGAGGTAATCCGTTCTGTTATCAACCAAAGCTAACGCAATCAAGCGACCTTTTGAATGAGCATTCAAAACCAGCAAAATTTCTAAAAAAGAGTACCGCAGTCGTGAACCGACGGAACAACTAATAATATGAAATAAAATTTAGTTGTTAAACATCTTGCACATTTTTCAAAACAAGTAGTCATCTTTCAGCGAAGAGAATGCATGTACGAGTTCGAGGGATATTTCAGAACTTGTGTCGTTCATCAGAAATTCAAGTTACTTCGCTACCTAAGATATTTTCTAAGTCACAGGCCCTACTTTCATTTAGTGAGATTGAACTTACCACTCACTTGCATCTCAGAAATATATCCAGGGTGTGTATGTATTCTGCGCAGTGGTTACGAACCGACTAATAGTAAATTTTATGTTTTATCTCCATCCATAAAAAAAAAAACTCGCAAAAAGTTCAGATTGAAAAAAAAAACTTGACCATCTGTCATAAATTCGTGTGCAAGGAAAAAAGATTAAATTTTTCAGCTAAGCTATCCTTTTTGAAGTAAGTTCTCTGGAATCTAGGTAAAATTTCGCAACCGATAATTGCCAACTCTGAAAAATTAATCAAATACAATTTTGAATGAATTCGAAATGGAACGGTGGAACTCAGGATGCCAGGAACCTTGAAATAATCAGGAGTGCTTCAATTTCAACCAATACGTGAGCAGGGTTCATATTTCCCACAGCGGGATAAGAACCAACATTCCATCAATCACCCAAAGCAGGCACTGAAACGACAGCCTAAAAAAAACAAAACAAAAAACAGAAGTGTTCTTCCACGAGCGAGACGAATCCGCAATCCGAAGTATTCCCGAATGATCACCTGTCAATAAGCACCCCCCAAAGAGTACTGTACAAGCAGCAGAACTGATAATGACAGTTCATTTTCCATTTCCTTACTTCCTCCGCAAGAGACACGAACAGTTAACACTAGAGTTTCCAGAAAATGAAATATGGAAATCGAAAAGACGATGAGGGATTGGAAAGTCATCCATCAAGTGGTGACCAGAACGCCTCCCACGAACACGACAGGCAGAATAATTTTCGCGTTTCCCGTCCTTAAATCGCACGCCCTCGATTCATTTCCACGCTTTCGGGTGGGGTTCGAACACATCGTATGCAAGCAGACAAGCGACGCGAAGGATGCCGCAAAAATAATGACTCCAATCCAGTCAACTCGTCAACTCACTGGGTTAATGAAGAAATTTATGACTAGGTCACACAGTTGAAAAACGTATTAGGGTTTATCTCACATATAATCTAGACGTCGTCAAAAACCCTGAGTGAAAAGCGCACTAGAAATTTGAACGAACCTCAGTCTAAAAAAATTTTCCCCATGTCGAGGATGGCTCAATGAATAATTATTTTAAAGTACCAGCTACCCTAATGACAGGTGCCGGAGGGTATCAGTTACGGTACTCAAAAGTCAAAAACTTGACATGCGACGATTTCGGAACTTCGTCGAATTTTTAACATACACGATTGCAGCAACTTCTACAGCTGACAACCTGAATTCAATCGAAACCCCTAAACAAATGTGCGCTTGAAATCATCGCTAAGACAAAAATCCCTCATAATTGAAATTTTCAATTCGCATGACTTACAATCTAACAAATATTTCATTGTAAGGTACTGAAAGATACGTCTAAGAATCGCAGAAAATTTCAACAACAAAAACCAACACACACCAAAAGTTTGCACTAGAAATCCCCGCTAATCCAAGTGCCTAAATCTCTCATCACTAGATTTTTAAATTTTCATGGCCTACCATCAACAGAGATTTAGATGATACATATTTTAAGAAACGAATTAAAAAATGTCTGAGTTTCAAAACAAAAACAAAAAACCTAGTCACATGGTACCAACCGAACGCGAAAAATACAGTATGATCAACCTCTTCAACAAAAAAACTCGATAGATGCCTAGAGTACCTAGAAGCCAGCGAAAATAATGGCTGCCAATTATAAATCCTCGTTTTCTCAAAATTATCCAGACAAGAAATCCCACAAAATTGGAAGAGATATGAAGAAATTAGACGGGCATTTCTGAATGCACTCGACCCGGTTCTTCAACGGTTCAGTTAACCGTTGCAAAATGTGGGAAGTATTTCACCCATACGGGTTCGTTAGTTTCGCTCAATTAAGCCGTTGAGCTATATTAGATTTCAGTAGAGGAAAAACTGAAGACCCAGAAACGTCCTGAGTACGTGTGAATTCGAAGTTCCTAAACGCTGTTTTTTTTTTGTGGCTCAATGTGCACTCATTTATTTATTTTTTCCGGGGTTTCTATAGATGATATTTTTGAAATTCACAGCGGAAAAATATAGAAAAATAATCTTCATGAAAGTGACAGAACCAAGGAGAAAAGAAAAAAAACCGCATGGATTTTCATTTTCCTTTTGTATTCCGACCATTTACCAGCAAAAAAAGCAATATACTGCGGAGTACTTGAACGCTTATAGAAAAATAAATACACAATTTTCCTTGAAAAAACCAGGAAGTGAGCAGCGCACAAACCACCGGAAGCACAACGGAATTATCCAGGAAAGAGCGATAATCACCCGCCTTGGAAAAGAATGAGACCAAGCGGCATTGCTGAGGGTTTCGCCAAAGTCTAGAAAACAGTCACAATTACAATTATTTTTTATTAAAATAACGATGCCGGTTCGTGCGCGGGCGGTATAACATTCCTGAAAAAAAAACAGCGAATGCGCTTTTTCGTTCGTTTTACTACTTCCTCCGCGATATTTCACTCAGGAAACGATGTAAACGAAAAAATATAACGTTTGACATAAAAAACCTTGCATTTCAAAACAGCTGTTAATTGGTTTCGATAATTTTTGAATGGGACCCAATCACTTCAGAGATCTCGCTATAAAAAAGGGCATCGAAAAACAAGATGAAAAGTGCTCCCTTCTGAAATTTGCCAACTCTGCAACCGAGTGGAAGAACACAACTTTGTCCAAATTGAAGACACAATCGTAGCAAAAATATTCCCATGTAGGTCGATTTCATGGCATTAGGACGCACTAGCATTTCAAAGACTTTTCGATCAATTAGCATTTTTGACAAAAACCGAAGTAAACATTAAAAAACACCACTTGAAAACCTTATAACCTGAGCAAATACATTAAACTTTGAGATATGGACATTTTCTTAGTCAGCACAACGTTTTTTTAGTCATACACCTTCATACAACAGAAGAACTTCGGAAGCATTGTCTTTTCCTCTCATAGAACATGGAAATAAATTTCCTATACAGTAAAATTCCGTCACAAGGAATCTCGCTGAAACTTAATCAACTCATTTTAGACTGCAATCGCAGTGGAACGAATTTTTTTCCCTTGATTCTGTACATATGGATTATTTGATAAATGACAGAACATTTTGAAACAAATTGAACTGGTGCAGGATTCCAACTTTATCAAAGAAGCAACATTTTTTGTAGAGAATATTTAGCATTCAAAAAGTACACAACATGACATATTTCTTGAAAACTCTTTAGCTCCATTTCGGAATTTATGTCTTTCTGTCGAATAAAAAGTACGGTAGAAATGATTTTACTCAATTTAAAAGAATAAAAATGTTTGAATGAATACGTACAATCAGAAAGAAGTACAGTACTGTACTGAACAGTATTTCTCCCACATGTATTTTTGTTTCATTTTATTTTTCAAGACAAACAGCAGTTTTGTAGAAAGGCAGGTTCAATAAAAAACAAAGTACAGTACGTACTACAGGTAGACTGTCTCTCTCTACAATACTCTTGTTTATAACGATTTTCCCTGTACTCTATAGCGAATTTTTTGCGGCTCATGGGGTTCTCTCCCCATGTTATAGGGGTTCTCTATAACGAAATTCTGTCTACAATGAATTTTTCTGGTTCACTGAGTTTCGTTGTAGACAAAGTTCATCTATATACAGTATGTGCATTTTAAAAGTTTTCTCTTTCATTTCAAAGAAAAATTGAACATAAAATTCTCAAGCCTGTAATCAAAACAATTTGATTTTTTGACTCGCAAGAACTTTCGAAAAACACCCCGGCAAAAAAAAAAAAAAACGCATCGCCGGGCAATAATAACGCGCGTCAGCGTCACTTTCTCGCGGCCACAACTTTTCCCTCTACCCTCTTGCTTCCTCCTGTCTGTCACACACACTCATGTACATGAATGAACACTCAAGACACGCCCTCGGGCGAACGGGTTCGAAATGCGAGCCCTGAACAAGCCGTTTTTCTTCTCCCAACACCAGGGAAATAAAAAAGAAAGAAAGAAACCAATCGAGATCAAGGCTGTCTCAGCCTGCGGCATTATTGAAGGACAAGGAGACATCGCATCGCAGTACCAATGATCCGCTTAAAGGCAAGAAAACCCCACGGTGTGCTTGAGGATTGTGCTCAGAACGACGCTGCGAGCTCA